GAGTTTTAGGTATAAGAAGATAAACTTGCTAATAATTGAGCGGGAGAATTTTCTCTCTCACATGTAGTGTCTTTAGCTATTATAAGATAAGTTTGCTAACAATTGAGCAGGGAGATCGAGAGTGAGAATTTGCTATCTCATATGTAGTGCTTTTAAGTATCAGAATATAATCTTACTAACAGTTGAGTGGGATAACTTTGTCTCTAATATTTAGTTCTTTGAAGTATAAGATAAGTCGGTTAACAATTGAGCGGAATAATTTTATCTCTCTTTTGTATTGCTTTTAGGTATAAGAAGCTAAGAATATAAGCTTGCTAACAATTGAGCAGATGAAAGTTCTCTCTCATATGTAGTGTTTTTGTACAAGGTAAGATAAGTCAGCTAACAATTGAGCGAAAGAACTTTCTCTATCATATATAGTTCATTTAAGTATAAGATAAGCCGACCACAATTTGGCAGAACAATTTCTCCCTATCATATGCAGTGTTACACTTGAAATTAATTTTGTGGTGGTTTGTGAGGACAGTACTAGAGGTTTGGAGTAAGCACCTCGGGTTCTACGGGGCGGGGAGTTACATGTGATGCTTTTGGGTATAAGGTAAGTCAGTTAATAATTGAGCGGAAGAACTTTCTCTCTTATATGTAAGAGTTTTAGGTACAAGATGATGATAATGCTAATAATTGAGCGGAAGAGTTTTCTTTTTCATATGTACTGCTTTTAGATATTAGGAGATAAGTTGCTAACGGTTGAGCGAGAGAATGAAGCGGGATAATTTTCTCTCTCATATGTAGTGTTTTTAGTTATAAGCTAATCCGACTAACAATTGATTGAGTGGGACAATCTTCTGTTATATATAGTTCTTTTAGGCGTAAGAGAAACTGGTTGAGTATTTAGCAGAATAGTTTTCTCTCTCATATCTTAGTTCTAATTTAACTAATGAGTAGCAACTAGCAACTTCTTTTTCAACTAATACTATTCATTAATTGTAATAATTATTCTATTCACTTAAACTTCATGTCACTCACCTATTGTTTTCTCACTTTTTCATAATAGTATTTAATTTTAAATTTAATTTAATCATGAAAATTTATAAGTAGTAAATTCTAATGAATGGTGTCAATTGATTTTTCCTAATATACTCTTCATTGAATATGTATTTGATGAACTTATACTTTATGGTATTAGCTTATTGTACTCTTATTTTTCAAAAATGATGAATTCTACAAAGTACTTTTATTTTAATATTTAGTTAAATCGTGTGTAAAAATATCTGCACCAAATGCGTTTTCCCGTGCGTATGCACGGGTACTATACTAGTAAATAAGTAAAAAAGATCGATCTGAATATTTGTACTCAAATCAATTGAATATTCATTAAATAATGTAATAAGAATAATTCTAAAAGTAACTTAATACTTGATTTTAAACAACATAATTCATCACTCAAACAATTTGAGTAAAGAGTCTTGCTTGGTGTACCCCTTTTGTACCACACCCTTTGTGTGGTTCAAATGAGCGCATCATTTAAATGAATTGTCCTACTTAAATGAATTGCCCCATTTGAACCACACAAATGGGGTGCCCCATCATTCTACTATTTTTCTTAAGTAAAAGAGGAGTAAAAGGATCGAAAAAAATGATATTATTATATTTTTTCTTACTAACTCTATTTACTTATTAGTATTAATATATAACATTACTATATAATACTATTGAATTTTTTTAAAAACGAGGCCCCATAAATTGAAAGACATGTTCCATAAAATCTATTGAATCTATGTTGAGAGTCTGAACACTCTTCACACATAATAATAAATTGAAAAAATTGCCCTAAATAGGATCAAAACATAGACAAAAAGCCAAACTAGGACTTATCATGTTTTTTCCCCATTATAGGAGTCATCCGCTCCTATTTTGAGTTGTCGTCGTTTCTGTAATGTCGATAAAGCCCTTGGCTCTCTCCTTCTCGTAACCTTTATCCCTGCATCTGCATCTTCTTCTTCTTCTTCGGCAATTCCCAAGTAATTCATCTTCTCACTTCATCTGTGTTTCTTTTTCCCCCCAGAAATTTCACGCTCATCTTCTCCCATTTCTGATTTAATTGGAAACATATATGCCACTCCTTCATCTTTTCTCTTCCTCTTTGATTTGATCGGAACATTCATCTTTCAAATTTTAATAATGGCGCGCCAACACTAATTTCAGAATTTCAGGTGTTCTTCATAGTGCTCTTCCTACTTCTATAGTTTCTTCTTCTTCTACTACATGCTCTGCTTCCAGTGTTTTTGTTTTTTAAAAATGTCATTTTGGTTCTAAAAAACATGACAGTCGCTCCTCCTTCTTCACCTCTTTAAGAATGACATGAAATGTCATGAAGATGGCATTTACAAACGTAAAAACTGACATTCGCTCCTCCTTCACCTTTTTAAAAATGACATGAAATGTCATGAAGATGACATTTAAGACCTAAAAATCTGACAATCGCTCCTCCTTCTTCACCTTTTAAAAATGTCACGTTTGTTCCGAAATTGTCATCAAATTGTCTATATTACTCTTTGAAACTGTCAATTTTACTCTGAAAATGTAATTAACCTGTAGAGTAAAACTGTCATGTTGATAAATATTCTAATGCCACAACAATGACATTATTTTAAGGTTAGTGTTCAATAAAACACCTATTATGGCATTTTCAAATTCAAATCATGAGAAAAATAATACGAATGGTTTAAAGTAAGATAATCAAAATTAATAACAAAATGGAAATTCAAAAGAAGAAGAAAAGAGATGAAATGTGGAAGAAGAGAAAAACAGAGCATGAGAAGAAGAAGCTCACCTGGGCATGTAGCAGGGTCGCCGTTCATCGCAGCCGATATTCATCGCAACCGTATTCATCGCAGAATTTGCAGCTTGCGAACTCACTCTGAAAGGCTTTGCAGGGCATTTGTGGCATTCCAACCTAGTTTTGGTCCTACGATAACACACGGAAAAGTAGTAGTCCTACTGTGGCACTTTTCCTAAGTTTTGGTCCTATTTTGGGAATTTACTCTAATAAATTTCACACAACTACACTCCTTTTTTTACTTGTCAAACTATACATTTCACATATGATAAAAAATGTAACTTGAGATAATAAAGAAAAATTAAAGAGGCGAACAAATAAAATAAATGAAGAAGAAAGAAAAAGAAAAAGAGTAGAATATAATTTTTCTTAAAGTGAAAATAAGATAAAAAGAAGAGTTAATTATCAAAATAGGACAAAAAGTCATTCACTTTTCACAAATAGGACCAAAAAATAAACTATGTTTGCATAGGACTAATTATGTGTACCTTGGATAATTATACCCTTATAGCTATTAAAATGTTTTAATTCCTAATAAAATAATAAAAAATAATAAAAATTCGTAAAAGATACTAAAAAATTAAGAAAAACATTTCGATATTAAAAATATAATTAATTTTTTTTTTCAAAAAATTAAAAAAATTAAAAAAAAATTAAAAAAAAAATAAAAAATAAAAAAAAATCGCCGCCGCCTCTGCCGCCTCAGCACCACCACCTCCAGTCACCAGGGGAAAAAATGTCAAGTTCATTACGAATGCCATATTTATGGTAGAAAAAAATGAAAATGTTGGCATTCGAAAAGAGAAATATGCCACTTTTTTGGCATTTTCAGAAAAAAATGACATTTTTCTGGGAAAATGACATTTTTTTCATCGGCGGAGGTGGTGCTGCTGGGAGGTAGTACAAGCGGTGGGAAAGACATCCGTATTTTTTTAAATTTTTTTACGGAGTTTTAATATTTTTTATTAATTTTTTTAAAAATAAAATTATTTAAAAAAAAGTTTTTGAATTTTTTATTTTATAAAAGTTTTATAAATTTTTTAATTACATTTCTACGAATTTTTGAATTTTTTTCAAATTTATTATGAATTAAACATTTAATTATGGCTTTTGACTATTTTTAATTCATATTTAATTAATGGAAGGGTAAGAATGTAATGCAAAAATAGGTATGTTTCCAATAGGACTCATATGGTCCTATTTTGGAATAAAAACATAGCCAACTACTACGGGCTAGTATTGTCATAGTTTTAGTCCTATTTTGGAATAAAAACATAGTCCTATTTTAGGTTTTTGCCATAGTTTTAGTCCTATTTGAACTAATTTCTATAAAAAGAAATGGGGGAGTATTGTCTCACCCCAAATATAACATGTAAGATTGACTCTTTATGAAACTCCTTGCGAGACAAAAACATCAATTTTGAGCGCAAAAGAGTTTGTGAAAAGAAAGGAAACCTCTTTGAAATTGTCAATTTTACTCTGAAAATGTAATTAACCTGTAGAGTAAAACTGTCATGTTGATAAATATTCTAATGCCACAACAATGACATTATTTTAAGGTTAGTGTTCAATAAAACACCTATTATGGCATTTTCAAATTCAATTCATGAGAAAAATAATAAGAATGGGTTAAAGTAAGATAATCAAAATTAATAACAAAATGGAAATTCAAAAGAAGAAGAAAAGAGATGAAATGTGGAAGAAGAGAAAAACAGAGCATGAGAAGAAGAAGAAGCTCACCTGGGCATGTAGCAGGGTCGCCGTTCATCGCAGCCGATATTCATCGCAACCGTATTCATCGCAGAGTTTGCAGCTTGCGAATTCACTCTGAAAGGCTTTGCAGGGCATTTTTGGCATTCCAACCTAGTTTTGGTCCTACGATAACACACGGAAAAGTAGTAGTCCTATTGTGGCACGTTTCCTAAGTTTTGGTCCCATTTTGGGAATTTACTCTAATAAATTTCACACAATTACACTCCTTTTTTTTACTTGTCAAACTATACATTTCACATATGAAAAAAAATGTAACTTGAGATAATAACTAGGATAGAGAAAAATTAAAGAGGCGAACAAATAAAATAAATGAAGAAAAAAAGAGAGTAGAATATAATTTTTCTTAAAGTGAAAATAAGAAAAAAAGAAATGGGGGAGTATTGTCTCACCCCAAATATAACATGTAAGATTGACTCTATATGAAACTCCTTGCGAGACAAAAACATCAATTTTGAGCGCAAAAGAGTTCGTGAAAAGAAAGGAAACCTCCCGGCCATTCCCATACAACTATCAAGTAGCCAACTACTACGGGCGAGGGTTGAATATTCCTTCCTCCTTCCGCTTCCCAATCGGCCCTTCACCGTCGAGTCTACCTGATTCCAGAAACACTTTTAATTATTCTAATTTACTCTTTCTGAAGTCAATCGATCATAGGCATGACTACCGCTGGAAACCAGAACTTGAACGCCAAGCTGGTATGAATGATGAATCTTCACCTAATTCCTTGAAACAATTAAAGTTGCTTCTTTTTCCTGTGTCGTGGGCTGTCTCCTTTGATTCTATCATCTTTTTTTTGTTATGATCATGTCTGATCGGAGACTGCTAAACCTTTATACAGTTTTATCAAGAATTTTTATGCTCCATGGGTCAACTGTGGTTCATCAATACCTTCTCTTAAAAGTTTACTTAAAATCCAACTGCCCCGCGTCTCTTTACTCTATGCTGCAGAATTTGGGTATCCTATAAATTCCTTAATGGTTATCTGATTTCTAGTTCATGAGACCTTTTTTTGTTCTTCATCATTTTTTGTGTCTCTGTGATCAGATTGAGTTCTGTACCTTTATGTTTATGTTTAGTTTATGGTGCTAAAGTTCGAATCCTGGTACTTTGTTATATAGGTGCTCCTTGGAGATGTTGGAGCTGGAAAATCTAGTTTGGTATTGCGTTTTGTTAAAGGACAATTTATTGAATTCCAGGTATGTTATTATATTGAATCATCACTTTTGATTGATAGCCTGTGATTTTTCACTTTAACATTGACTGTGCTTTATTTATTTTTCCTTTGGGTTGTTGATGTAGGAATCCACAATAGGTGCTGCTTTTTTCTCGCAAACAGTGGCAGTTGATGATGCTACTGTGAAATTTGAAATATGGGACACTGCAGGTCAAGAGAGATACCATAGTTTAGCACCAATGTACTATAGAGGAGCTGCTGCAGCTGTAATTGTGTATGATATAACAAATAAAGTAAGTCTTGCATCCATATTATATGCATCAAGAGAGTGCCAAAGTTTAGGTCCAAGTAGTTCATTCTTTCCAGAGCATTTAGGAAATAATATTTCCCTAATTTTCCCATTGTAGGATTCCTTTGAACGAGCTAAAAAATGGGTCCAAGAACTTCAGGCACAAGGTTTATTTTCTCTTGTCAATTTTGTACTTCCTTTTGTTTCTTTGTGTTGTTTGCTGTGGGTTTTCTGATGCTGAAATACAAGTGACCGCTGAGGTTTGTTTTCAATGGAATTATCTCATATAAAGCTAACTATGAATGATAGAACCCTGTAAATTCTTTAATAAGTAATCGGCTATTCTCACATCTTGAGAGCTCTTTTGGTGTTAAGTTAGACATATCCTTACTATTAACGTTTTCATTTCTGGTGGGCTTGTGTAAATGTATTGATTGCTTATGTGTAAAAGAGAACTGCTAAAGGCTTTTTAGTTTGCATTATTCATTTTCTTGTCTGTCATGCTGTCATGCCTAATTCATGACTAATCTCCTTTGAATATACCTCGCTTAAAACTACAAAAGGGGCTGATGAAAGGGAATAGTGGTTGACTGGTTGCTGAAGTAAAAGAGAAACAGCAAAATCTTTATTGAGTTATCCTCCTCGTTGGTTTCTTCTTAGTTTACTCTTTCTTTTTTGCTTTAACAAAGATAACTCCTTTATAGTTTATATAAATAGAAGTCTAAATTTGACAAGTTTTGGAGCAATTAACTTGGAATAAACATATCAAGCAATTCAAAAACAAGACAAAAAAGAAAAGGAAATACATTAGGGAATTGGAAAAGGAAATGCTACTAGACTCCACAATTGACTGCATGAATGCCCCAAACAGAAAGAGGACATAATCAAATCAAACCAATTATCTCAATGATCTCAATGATTTCCCCAATCTCACCCAATCCCTTTTTAATTTGTTAAAAACAAGTTAATCTATTTACTTTTTAGCTAGGGATTGTGATTTGCAGAAAATCTGTAATCAGATAAGTGTAGCCATTTGAATGTTTTTGTTTAGTGGAACGTTTCTTTGTAACTATTCATTACTTTTGATGCTTTTGTTACTAGCTAATCAAAACATGGTTATGGCACTTGCTGGGAATAAAGCTGACTTGGTAGATGAAAGAAAAGTGACACCAGAGGCAAGTACTTAAATTCATGCTTAGTGATGAACACTTGGGTTAATTACATCTACTCCCTTGGTTGGCTCTAATTACCAAATGACCCTGTTACACATAATGAAGTTGAAATTTGATAGGATGTAATGATATTACAGTTATCGTATTTTCCGGAATATATTATCCGCATTTCAGAATAAGCTCAGAGTTTTTCAGCTGATAAAATGCCTAATAAAACCAATTTTATCCGGAAGATGGACAATCTGAGTTGGTAGCATTAAATATTACCCCCTCCATCCCATTTTAGAAGATACTTTATCCCTTTATCTATCATTTCACCCTTTACTTGTTGTGGATTCATTTTTCTCTTTCTTACCTTTTGAAGGTTAGAATTGTAAAATAACCACTTTATCCTTTTTTTTCTTAAAACCCGCACCAAACCATATGCATCTTACATTACGGGACGAAGGTAGTATAATCTTTCCGTGTTAAAAGGAAGGGTGTGGAAAATCTGACTAGTCAAGGGGCTTATCTATAAACTGTAACTTTTAGAAGCTTCAAAGATCGTTTGATTATCTGTCCATAATTCTGAGGGTAGTAGATGCAATAGTCCTTTAGAGTTTGACATGATTTTGTTCTTCAGTGGATGCCTAGAGTTTCAGAGCATAACTGCTCTTGTGTGCTAAGCACCATTGTTTCTTACGAAGTTTGACTTCTGGTGCAGGACGCACAGAAGTATGCGAAGGAAAATGGCCTTTTCTTTGTCGAGACATCTGCAAAAACTGCAACCAATGTCAACGAGATTTTCTATGAAATAGGTAAAAGCTTTATTTATGGGCTTTCTGGCACATTACTGTATCATATATTCATATGGAACAAATTGATCTAGTTGTTTGAGTCCACACAACTAATGTCCAAAGTTCTTCACATGGCTACGTATGACGCACTTGACTATTTCCGAATCTTCCATTTAGCACATACGGAGTATGTAAATGTGCAATATATCTAATACTGCTTGCTGCTTTTTCACTGATCAAAGATCCACTTTAGTTTTAATCAAAGCCCCTTCCATTTAGCACATATGTCATGTGGGTGCCATTGTATCAGTTATCATGATAATCTTAACTATTTAGTTCAGGTTGCCTGTGAATAATTATTACTATGATGACCGCTTAGATGGATTTATTAAACAATAGATGGATTTATTAAACAACTTGCCAATAATATTTTAATCACGCTGGTCCTGTCTATATCAGCCTACCCCAAGATCTTTTTTGACTAAGGCTTGGATATTGTTGTGGATGTTGTTGGTCCTGTCTATATCTGGTTCTTGTTTGGTTTGTATTCAATTCTGGTTTGGTAACTTAATTAGGTAAGTGACTGAAATTACTTTTTAGTCTTATGATTGGTTTGGTCACTGGATGAAGTAGAGCAGTGTGATTGGAATGAAGTCATTGTACGATCTCAATTGTTGCAATTTGAGTATTAAATTTAAAGCTATGCAATATATGATACAAAAGAATTTAATGAAATAGTAGCATTGTAGGAACATGAGATTTCTCAGGTGTGGGTTGAACTTCTGAGAACAATGATTATTACAATTTTAACACCTCTGAGAACAATCACTGATTACTTCAAGTGTGAGAGTTGAATATAGTTGTTCTAAAAGGTGGCCTAGGCGGCTGCCAGGCACCCCTGGAAATGTAGTTGTCTGGATGCCACCGTTTCTCTATCTAAGCTGTTCAAATGGCATAATTTTGTAAAATTAAATACAGATTCAAAGTAAAAATAGATGGGGTAGAGGGAGAGAGTGTATGTCTCTCCCTCCATAGACACTTCACAAGTTCACAGTGATAGTCTTAAATCTTAATCACAATATATAGAATGTATGTACCCAACTCCAACTGACAAAACTCAAAGCTGAAAACCACTCCAATGGGGCGTAAGTACTGTAGTTTTTTGTATTCCTTCCGTAAAATAAATCACTGCTTACCTGTAATGGTTGTGTTCATGACATTTGCTTGCAGCCAAGAGACTGCCTAGACTACAGCCTGCAACAAATCCATCTGGAATGGTTCTTATGGATAGATCAGCCGCTGCTAGTCAAAGAGCCGCCACCTCCGCCGCCACCTCTTGTTGTGCTTAACTTCCATCCTCATCTGCTCCATGGAGAGAAAGAAATGCACACTGCTCTGTCTGTACCTTCATCTGTCACATTCATACTCTCTCATGTTTTATTCATGTATACTCCGTATAATTTATTCAAAAGGATCTTGTATCAGAGGCCTTCGGGAATGGGCCTCTATAACATATTACCTTTGTCACTTTGTGTTGAGTTGTTTATATTTTATTTAGGAACATTAACACTTAATGATTATTTTGTTATTGTTTTTTAATAAGAACATGTTCTTATATAAGAACAATGAGAATTTTATACCGCAAAGGGAACTCCATATTAAGCCTTTTTTGCAAAGTGTTCTTTTCTAGAAAGAGCTGTTTACTAGCTGAAAAAGTTTCTTGTTGTCTGGAAAAAGAGAAAATAGAAAACATACTTAGACTAAATTCTCAATTTTGGAAACACGAAACAGTTCTCCAATAAAATTAAGACCCCCCCCCCCCCCCCCCCCCCCCCCTCCTTGTTACAACGAAAAAAAAGGAAAAGAAAACATATTAAAATCTAATACTCTCTAACCCATTAGCATCCTCCCAAAGAATTTGTTTGATCCAATTTGGAGCTGATTCAAGAATTGAAAGACCCTTTGGAGCTTGATGTGCAGCATTAGCAAGCCTATTGGCATATTTATTTTCTTCACGGTGGATATGTTTAATGTAAACGAATCGGTCATCCTCGAGCAGTCTTCGACAATGTCGAACTAGGACTCCGATATTAGTGTCCACGAGCCATGTCTCCTCTTAAGAGCCTTTATCATACTTTCAGAATCTACTTCCATGATGATCCTCTTGAAATCCAACTCTTTAATCAACAACAATCCTTGATGAAGTCCCCAGAGTTTAGCTTTGAAACTATGAGTTCTCCCAATGTTTAATGTGAAGAATAGAATTCATTCACTATTGTGATTCCGTTATCCCAACTGGAGTCAGTCACAATTTAACTTGAAAGATTCAGAGTCGAGTGGAATCCACTTAATATAGTTAGCCACCTTTAACTAAGGATGGCAATGGGAGCGGGGGCCTGTGGGGAACCGCCTCGTGGGGGGGGGGGGGGGGGGAGTTGGGGTGGGTGGTGGGGTTAGGGGTGAACCGGTACCGGTTCGGGTCTGGGCTCGGTCGGGCCTCGATTCATGAAAGGGGAGGTCTGGAACCGGCCCGGGTAAACCTCGGGTCCGGTCCAGGTCGGGCCGGGCCGGGCCGGGCCGGGCCTCGGTTCATGTAATTTTTTTAGCTTTTCCTAATTAACCCCCAACCCTCCCCCCCCCTCACCCCCAAACCACCCCAAACCACCTCAAATGGCCCATCATACCCAGCCCAATCCAAAAACTTAAAAAAATAAAAAAAAAAGAATAAATAAATAAATTGGCCCGGACCGGGACCGAACCGGCCGGGCCGGTTCACTATTTAGCAGGCCCGGGCCCGAACCGCCTACCTCACCGGGCCGGTCCAGGCCCGCACAGTAGCAGGCCGGTCTGGTTCCGGGCAGGTTGGCCCGGTCCGAGTCCACTCCTTGGTGGGGTGGATATGGGGATGAGGGAATTATTTCCTCCCCGCTTAAATATGGGGCGGGTGATGGGTTATACACCCCCCACACCGCCCCCGCTCCGTCCCCCGTATATATACACATATTAATAATTAATAATAATCACAATAATAATACTAATAATAATAAGGGGTTTTTACAAAAATATTACTCAAATAAAATTTATTTTACACAAATATGACTATTAGTTACTACAATGTAGTGTCATAGTAATCTAAGTTTAAAAGTTGAACTTAAGTTACTTTAATTTCATTACTACTCTAATTACTAGTCACATTTTTGTAAACAGACTTCATTTTAGTCATAAATATATAATTACTAATACGAAGTTCTTAAAATAGCATGGTGGCGTGGTTGCTTTAGTTGTTTCCTATCTAACGGGTTGTGCCTAATGGGTCTATCTAATTCTTGTTTAATAACTCAACTATCTTGTAAAATTGGTTATCAAAATCATATAAAGTAAAATGAATTTGGGAAAGTTATAAAGTGATATTAGCTTAAACGCCTCAGACACAGTGTGAATGTTTTCTTCTTTTACTATTATAGTGCATTAATTCTTTTCTTATGAATGTCATCTTTATGATTGTAGTTAGGGCTCTTAAAAATCTAGTCACCATAGGTCGTCGTAGATAGTGTCAAATGACCATGGTTGATTGAATAAAGGTTTAAGAAAATATTATAGAGCTAATCAATGCTGATAAAGTGTTTTATAAAATGACTAAATCAAAACGTGTACAACGTGTTCTAGATTTGAAATGAGATGTAAGATTACATTAATACTTAAAAACTGTCTGAATCTAAAATAGTGTTAATTTTTTTTTACGAATATTCTCCCCGTTGGGTACCCGTGGGTCTAGCGGGTCGGAGCGGGGATGGGGCGGGTCGAATAGTAGTGTGGGATGGGGCGGGGGTGGGGGCAATTTTTTAGACACGGGGCGGGGGATGGGGGAGTGAACCCCGCCCCAACCCCGCCCCATTGCCATCCCTGCCTTTAGTTGTTTGGTTCCATCCCTAACACTTACTTTGATATACTCCTCTGCATGTGCATATGCGTTCCTCACAACTCGGTCTGCATATGGACGAACGCCTTCGAACATGCAAGCATTACGAGCTTTCCATAAACACCAAATGACATGAGCAAACCTGGAAGCGTGGGGAATCCTGTCCGAATTTCTTCCCTTGACAGTGTTTTTGTATCCATTTCAAACTATTGAGAAAACTATCTCCCATCCTAGGCACACCAAATGCAACTTTGGTCCAAGTTGTGACAAATAAAAGACAACAGAAAAGTCCACACAAATTTTTGGTGAGGAGAAAAGACAATTGCAGAGAATTAATGTACTAAGAATGAGTTAGAAGTCCACGAGAATCCATGATTTTAGAAGTCAATAAGAATGAATGGAAGTTTAAATACGCCTAGACTTTTATAGACTTTTAAAAATCTGCATTGAATACACATAGACTTTTGTAAACTTTTAAAAGTCCAATATGAATACACCTAAATTTTAAAACTCCACAGACTTTTATAATTTTGTCATGAATTCTTAATACAATACACCCCTCAGTATTACGTGATTTACGTCTATTTTAAATAGACTGATACTATCTACTTTTCGTCCAATTTTTCCCATTCTAAAGTACATTGCCACACTGTCATTATGAGTTGTGCTATATTATTCGTCTCATTTTTTTAAGTACATTGCCATACTTTTCGTCTCATTTTTACCTCAGGGCGGGTCAGAAAGAGGGCCCCAGGGGTCTGGGTAATCCGAGCTCAAATCCCCTTCATGCTGTATTGAACTCGAAACTTCTCACAATGGAGAGTGCATTAAAGTTGTGTTGAAACTTTAATGGAATAAATTCATTTTGTCTCACTTTGCTAACTTTCTTTATTTAATTATTGAAAAAACTATTAATTTCATTTATAATAATAAATATGTGGTTTAATTTATTTCTTACTTCATATGCAAATTAAATCTGACTAAATTTTATAGGACGTAGAAGATATATTCACATTTCTAACTTTAAATTTAGAAATAAATTTATGACTACAAAAAAAGTGTTTACAAAAACGAAACCTCTTAAGAATGGTGATTATAGTTGTAACTTTAATCATAGTAAGTTATGTTAAAGTTTTACACTTTAGTGACCATGATATTATACTCCTAATTATTTTAATCACACTTTTAAAAAATCTCTAAATTTTCATTATTATAAAAATGTCTCACGTGTTTCTAATTGGAAAAATGAAAGAGTAATTTCAAGTATTAGTGATCTTCTTGAAACAATTTGAAGTACCATTTTCTCAAAATAATCCTAAGTATTGAAAAAAATCTCAAAAACTCTAATTACTTACAATAATCCGTAATGATTTATAATATTTGCGAGTCAATGGAACATTTTGAGAATTTTTAAACAATTGAAATTATTTTTAAATAATTGATATTTTCAATTATTTGGAAGAAAAGGGTATTGTGTGTGAGGATATTCTTTTTCTATCTTTGCTTTCTAATTTAATTGTTCCGTACCATTTCTTATTTGGAAGAAAAGGATATTGTGCAAGGATAGAGTGGAGCTTCTTCTCCGTTTACTGTTGCTGGCTTGCCGCAGGCGAGCGAGCTCACTTCAACTGAGATTTCAGAGGCTGAGGTATAATAATCAGTTCCTTGAATCTTTTTGCCTATGCGTATCCCTGTGAATGTCAACGAATATCCAGAAACCATCTCCAACAATTTTCTTGAAGTTCTCATCTGAGCTGAAATCTGAAAGACCGTTCCCGCATTTTATCAAATGGTTTGAGCTCAATATAACTCATTCTACATCTCTTGCTATCTTAACCCTTCAAGGTGAAACCGCGGCATATCTCGTCACACCTTCTTCTTACTATGCCATTATAATAATTCACAGGGTCAACTAAGGTGCGCTTCAGAGATGAATTCGCAGCTCAACCATACATTTTCTTCCCCTTTTTCTCCATTTTACTATTCTCAGACTCTTCTGGTTGTGGCACCACTGAAAGTTCGATGCTTTCGAAGAAGCTCCGGACCGGCCCCGGTCCCCGGAGTCTCTGTGAAGAAATTAACGAGTAAAGCGCCGATTCCACGCCGTGCTAGAAATTTTTTGAAAACAGTGAGAAGGGATGCACAGGCTGCACTTTTTGATTACTTGCATTGCACTAGAGGGTTCAGTTACCTTGATTCTGAGCAAATTAGCAGGAACGCACCTCGTTTTCTCAGATACTTGGTGTCAAAGATAAAGCGAGATGAGAAGGACGTGACGGGAGCTTTAACGCGTTTCTTCAGGTACCATCCCATTAATGAGTTTGAACCTTTTCTTGAGAGTTTGGGTTTAAGCCAATATGCTGTTGCTTCCTTACTTCCCGATAACATGATGTTCTTGACTGATGACACCTCCTTGCTTGATAACTATCATGTTCTGTTTGATTATGGTGTTCCTCACACTAAGATTGGGAAGATTTTTAAGGAAGCTGGTGAGGTATTTAGGTATGGCTATGGAGTGTTAAATATGAAATTAAGGGATTTTGAAAATTTAGGCTTATGTCAATCCACAGTCATTAACCTGGTGATTTGCTGCCCTAATCTCTTGCTTCCTGGGAAGAAAGATGAATTCATTGTGGTTCTTGATAAATTGAAAGATATAGGGTTTGAAAGTGATTGGATTGTGAGTTGCCTTTCCAGCAAACACACTTACAACTGGAGTAGAATACATGACACAATGTGTTTCCTTAGTGAAATTAGTTATAGCAATCCACAGATGATCACTCTGGTCAAGGCAAATCCGCCTTTGTTATTCGAAGGGAGTCGAGCTTACTTATTGGTAACCCAATTAGTGAAGTTGGGTCTCAGCAGAAACACGATTTATCACTGGTTTACGGAAAACCCAAAGATCCTAACTTTTAATCACGCGAAACGCATCTGTAGAGCAATTAAGTTTCTGCGTGAGATTGGAATGGATAGAGAGAACATTGCAGGAACTGTATCTGCAAACATACAACTGATTGGCACATATCCTCTAAAATATCCAAACTTTGTCTTGAAGGATTTCAAGGGAGATAGGGCTTGTTTGTCTAAGATCATACAAGAAGATCCTATGAACCTTCTAAGATTAGCATCCGATTGGGAAACCAAAAGCTTGTGGAAAAGAACTGAACTTTCCAATTCTTTGCTGAAAAAAGCATTCTTGTTGAGTTTAGGGTATGTGGAGAATTCTGATGAGATGAAAAAAGTCTTTAAGTTGGTCGAGGGGAGGGGAGGTCTATTACAGGAACGGTTCGATTGTCTTGTAGAAGCCGGTTTGGACAGAAATGATGTGGTGCAAATGTTCAGACGAACTCCAAAGATGTTGAATGGTACAAAAGAAGAGATTCTGAAGAAGATTGAGAATGTGAAGAAGTATTCATCGTTTGGTGTGGAATCAATTGTGCGTTTCCCCACATTTCTCACCTATGGTAATTACAGAATAAAATGTAGATTATCCATGTATGAATGGGCGAAGCAAAGGGGGGCGTTGAGTCCTACGCTGACATTAAGCACTATTCTTGCTTCCACAGAAACACGTTTTTTTAAGTATTATGTTAATGTACATCCAGATGGTCCTGCCATGTGGGAGAGTTTGAAAAAACGATTTCTTTCAAGCTAATAATAAGGGCATTAGGCCACTCTTTTGGTATTTCCTTTTTCTACATCTGCTATTACATGCGTAGTCTGTTTGGTGAGCTGAACTATGCTAAAATGAGTTGATAAAGTTACTGGGATAGCACACTTGAATTGTTGAACGCGTTACTTAAATACCTCCTCCATCCCTCAACTAAAGTACCTATTTGATTTTTGCTTCAAACATGTATTATCTGCTTTTTCTTCATGTTAATAATTTCGTTGAAAAAGGTAATTCTTTTATTAGTTTTTTACGGTAAGCAAAGGCAGCTAAAACAGAAAATGATGTTTTTGATTAGTTTCCTACACCATATTATTTTTCTATTTCCATTCCAATCTCAAAAAATTAAATGCTTTCGTTACATTCCATTTCTCCCCATTAAATTTCAACCAAAACGGCGGATTGGTGAGGCAATTAGCTAACTCGAAAAGAAACATCACTTAAGCACTTATTGAGGGGTGAACCCAAATCTGAACTGGACTCGAAGTGGTGGGCAAAGAATTGGACCGGTGTCATATTTTTCTAGTTCCATCCACTTCTAAAATAAGGCCAGAATTATAGATTTTTATTTTTAACTTAAAAAAGCTAAAACGGAACCCGTCCAGAACTAATCCAGAAGAATCACCAATTTCATTCCCCTAATATCCTTACTCGGAAGGCCGGAATAGGCCGGTTCAGAACAACCGGCCCGATTCCACCCTACGTTCATTGGAGAAACCTAAGAACGGCAACCCGTTTTTAATCCACCAAAAAGCCGTTGTAGCGTTGTAAGGTTTTCCAAAAAATGCTTTATTGTGCCTTTTTGTTATAAAAGTTGAGTCAAGATTTGAAGTTGAAAGTTTCAAAATAACATTATGTAGCAGTTTTGATCCATTGCTCTCCATATGTGTTTAACTGTCCTGAAAGGCGCTCCCTTATTTTCTCTTATAATACTTTTTCCATCTTAGACTGTTATAAAAAGGCAAAGATCAGATACTCCATAAAGTTGAAAAAAGCATCCAATTTTAAAGGAAGAAACAAACAAACAAAATGACTTGTAATGCCCTTCATTTCTTCACACTCACCATGATCATATTCTTCTCCACCATTATTGTCTCAAATAGTGCAGATGCAAGGCCACACTTCAGTCGTTTCTGCGTAAAAGCCATCGACAAACCCTTCTGCTCAAAGGTTGTGCATGGAACAAAACCATGGAAAGAAGCAATGAAGAAGGCAGTGAAGACAACCCACAGGCACGCAAAGCGCGCTAAGCCATTGGTTGAGAATCTCATAACGAAGCTCCCATCAACTTTGCCACCAGCCGCAAAATACTCCATTTGTGATACTTGTAAGGACTCGTACGATTCGGTCATTCATGAGCTGCATGCATCCATAGCTGTAGTTAAGAATGGGGATAAGAATGAAAGGTTGAATCTCATGTTATCTGCGGCATACACGGACCTCGAAGATTGCTCAAGGGCATTCCTAGATTTCAAGGTCCCAACCAAGAATCAGTTGTTCAAATCTAATGAGGTTACTGCTAAGCTTATTAGCACTTGTTTGGCTGTGGAAAAAGCTAGCCCCAAATAGAGAGACCTTAGAATTGTTATGTATAAACTATAAATTATTGGTCACTCTCACTGTAATTCCATTAGGAGACACTGTAATTATTGTTCACGCTGCAGGGAAAAGGGGAAAGGTTTCACCACAATTCCGGGCTTGTTTGGTTAAAAGAAAAAAGTCTCCCCTTCTCACATTACTCCTAAGAATGAATATTTAGTGTGTCCATTTCTTTTGAGGAAAAACAAAGGTAATGTTTTTTCCTAACACGGTTTTCTCCAAATTAATTCATATTGCTATCCACGTAAACTATTATAGCATATGTTTTAGCTGACACATAATTATCACAATTAGTAATAATCAGTTATAAAGTACAGAGTAATACCTATCAGATTTCCAATAGACGATTAAGGCTTGGTTTGTGATTGCTTTTACTTTAAAAGGGTGTTTTTAAAGTGATTTCGGAAAAAAAATGCTGAATAGTAAAAATTGACATTGATTCAGAAATAAATGCTTTTGAAAAAGTAAAAATGGGTAGTGTTTGATAAAATAAATGTTTTTGGTGTAATAGAAAAAGTCAAAAGCAGTTTAAAACACCTCTTTACCAGCTTCTAGCTTTTAGTTTTAAAGTGCCTTTTTAAAGTAGAAATAGCCAAATAGGTATTGACAAACATTTTTTTCAACTTATTTTAAGTTAAAAACAGAGAAGTGTTTATTTTAAGTGTTAAAACACTCCTTGGTAAATAGACAAAACCAGCCTCCAGCCCTTCACTGGGTAACTATTATTAAGAAGAAAGAATAAACTTTGTTTCTTAAAACTGTGACTATTTAAAAAAATAATTTTCTTCTCTTTCTAATCCCTACCTAACTACCCCGCTGCCACGGTTAAAACTACAGGAATAATTTTTTCTAATTCTTACATAGTACTGTATAAAATTTACACGAAAAAGTCACAGGAAATTTCCCCGAGTGGCTTGGGGCGACTTTGACGGTAGCGACAATGACATAAAAATAGATAGAATAAACTGGTAGCAATAATTATTAGCTTTTCAACTGATTAGCTTGTTGGTAATGCTTTTGAATTGGCCTTCAAAAAAGCGATGGTTTCATTATTTTCGTAAATTTCTGGTTCGACATTGTTCATAGCCAATTAAAACTTATTCCTACTGTCCCGAATTTATTTCACAATTGCTTTTGGTACAATTACAAAGACAAATAAATTATGCTTCAAATTCATTTAGAAAGAAAATAAAAGTATCTCACACTCCTCAAATCGTATGATAAATACGATCTTATGGTTAAGCATCTGATCTTAACTGGGAAGATGTGTTAGAGACCTCACCAGTACAGAACAATTACAGTAGATTAATAAGAAAATCAAACTAAATTCTTATTTGATGAAGAAGATCGGTTACATAGAGAAACAGAAACAAAGGCCGAAGCCTCCCAAAAGAGAAGAGAATAACTCTCTAATCTTTCCCAGTCCCAGTCCAAAAGTCCAAAAAACCTCCTTACTACCTTCCCTCTACATCTATTTATAATATAATACTGCCTAAGCCCTTATTACAACTATTATTATGATTCTTTCTATTATTAATCTAATAGGTAGGTCCCTATCAATACTCCCCCCTTTGAGAATCCACCTTGCCCTCAAGGTAGGAAGATAGGAACCAAGTCTGGAATTCCGCTTCCTCGTGGTGCCTCTTCCCTCCCAGTACCTCGCTGATGGTGGTATAAGAAGTTCCCAGACTTCTAGTCCTCTAGATGAGAAGCTCTTGACCATGCTCAGCATTGCATGTCTCTCAGGCTCCATCCTCTCTCTTGAGTGAAACTTCTCACTGAATAGCTCGTACAGAATTTCATCCACACACATGTCATAAGAAAGTTTATGAAAACTTGTGTCATACTGTGTTCCTCTTTTTGAATTTAAGACTTCTACAATCTCCAATGGTATTCCCCCATCATGAAACAGAAGTAGCATTTGTCCCATTACACTGCATAACTAGATGTCTTCTTTAAGAACATGCATATTTTCCTTGAGTAATGCACCCATCACCTGAAATGCAGGAATATCCAATACAAATTTAAAGTAAGTAACAATTTCCAAAGGACCATAAGTCCACAAATCAGGGCGGTTCCGTCCCAAATAACTTCCTGACACTTCAGAAGATCTTGCCAGAAAATGAACCTGATTACCATAGAGTATTTCTAAAAATTTTGGTGCAACAACTTCACCTAGAGCTTGCTGATAACTCTTAAGAGCCATCTTCTGTAACACTCTTGTTAAGATGTCAAAAACATCAGTAAGTGATAGGCTAAGAACAGTCTTTGCAGTGATGTCTCCCAATTTTAGATATCCTCCTAATGCTTTCAATGGATTATGTAAGCCAAGCTTGTGGTAGTTTATCATGCTATCAGCAATATGCTGCAATTCTGCTTCTTTTAATCCTGATAAGTCTTTAACAATTACTGTTGTGAGTTGCAGGGAACTTCTATCAAAGTGCTGGGAATGGTTAGACTTCTCATCTTCAGGAAAAGGTTTACGGTTTCCAAACATAATAGCAAATTCTCCTAAAAAAAGATCCACATGATCCTCCTGAGCCTCTGGCCCAGATTTCCTTTTATCAATGCCTGAATATTCTGAAAACATTTCCCTGGGTTGTCTAGGTTCTTGACTTTTGATCCGAACATCTTTGTCATCTGAAAAGTTCTTGATTTTAAGTGCTCCAATTTCATAAGCAGTTAAGACTCTGCTTCCAAAGAAACATGGGTGGATAAGCAGGTCAGCAATAGAAACTCGACTGGGAGTTAAATCCATAGCAATTTCAATATTAGGAGAAGCATAATCTGGCGTTTGTTTAACCGGAAGAACCGTTTTCGACTTTAAGACACCTACAACTGTAGTTTGCTCCTCGATTTCGTCCTCCTTATTCGTTTTCTTGATTCCAGATTCAATTGGTTCCCTCTCAATCTCCTCTATGGACGGTAGAATTTCTTGCTCAGGGACAAAACCATCTTGCGATAAAACTGGCGAACACAGAGAAACGACTTGAGAAGAGGAAGGGAAATAGTGAAAATCGATTGGTGACTTTCTTGGACACGAACTGAGGTCCGGAGAGGAATTCTGCGAATGGCGAGAAACAGTCCGCGCTTGAGAAATATGAAAAGAAGTTCGCGATTGCGAACTAAAAGGAACAGTTCGCGCTTTCATTTGCGTTTCAGTTTGCGAACTTATAAGCGATGACGATGGACTGTGTTTGTCAAGTAGCGGAAGATACCTAGTCGTCCTCGATCGGTCTCCAGATTTTCTGCGATGTCTCTGCTCTTCTAACTCCTCTGAGTCAGTCGAAAATCGCGTATGTCGATGATGAGATTTGGGATGCGTATGAGAGTAGTCAAAATTCTCTTCCGATCCCTCTGGATTGGATGACCTTCGTGACTGATGATGCGAAGTCCGACGAGAAGAGCTATACGACGAACGATGGGAAGAGTTATGGTGGGATGAGCCATGCGAAGATCGGTGCGAATGGTTCGATGTATGTCGCGAACGACTTTGAAGTCAGTTCTGCAAATCTGCGACGCTAGCTTGCATCGCCTCTTGCATAGCGGCCATCATCGTCTTCATCTTTTCTTGCGACGCGACCATACTCGCTTGTGTCTCACTCATAATTCGGTCAATATTATCAAAACTCTTTTCCATTTTCGGTGTCAGGTAGAAATCCTCCTCCATGATTCAGATTCTTTGTCTCCAGGATGTAACAGCTCTGATACCAATGTTAGAGACCTCACCAGTACAGAACAATTACAGTAGATTAACAAGAAAATCAAACTAAATTCTTATTTGATGAAGAAGATCGGTTACAGAGAGAAACAGAAACAAAGGCCGAAGCCTCCCAAAAGAGAAGAGAATAACTCTCTAATCTTTCCCAGTCCCAGTCCAAAAGTCCAAAAAACCTCCTTACTACCTTCCCTCTACATCTATTTATACTATAATACTGCCTAAGCCCTTATTACAACTATTATTATGATTCTTTCTATTATTAATCTAATAGGTAGGTCCCTATCAAGATGACTTTGAGAGTTTGAGACAGAAAAAAGGAATAGGGGGAAGCTAATCCAGGTGGGGACAGAAGTATATATTTTCATAATATATACGTACATAACATGTAGATCAAATATGATTATATTCTATAAACTAAAAAACAAATGAAAATCAGAAAACAGATCATGTCACCATACGAATCCTCAGTAGCTCAAACAATATTTAAAGCTTAACGAAACACAATCCAGTGAAAAGTTTCCCCATACTAGCACTGAAAGAAATAGATTTCATCACAAACTACTTTTTACATCTCCCTAAATGGTAAAGCATGTACTTTGAGATCTGGATTTTTTAGAAGTTGAAATTACTGTGATGTTATATGTAACATCAGATGAAAAACATTATGTTTTTGAGATCAGGATGAAGATTATAGAACTCATGCTGGAATGAAGGACCAGAGGATGATGAAGATGATCCAGCATTTTGACTCTCATAAACCACCTCTTGGAACATGCGTCCTCTATAAGCAACCAGATCCGCATAATACACCGGTGGAACTAGCGAGACGGCTTTTGCGCAACGGGCAAAAGTGAAGCACAGATCATAAATCAACTTCTGCAAGCCATCAGAGGTGAAACGGTTCTCATCCCAAAGGGCATAGTAATGTGTGGGCTTGCTTGTACCGAGGCTTCCATAATGACTGCACAAGTAAAAGTCAAAGTCAGACGGGTGCACGACTGTTGTGTCGACAACTGTCCCAGGGGGCACATTGGCTGACGCACCCCCATCGTTCCTATTCTGGAGGAAGAGACGAGTTTGGTGTCTCTTTTGGGCCACAATAAAAGTGATGGGCGGTTGATAGTCTGCCGTGTAAATCTTCTTCTTCATATCAATAAGCTCTTCATTAAGCATGATTTCAAATTGACCCTCACTCACGCCATCACGGAAGACCACAATCCTCATTGGTCTTACGTTGTTTGTCTTAGCATAAGCATAGACCAGATCGGAACACATGCTGCCGAAATTAAGGATCGTTTCAGTACGGTGCTTTTGTGGGCAAACCCTAGCAGCATAGCGATTTGCAGCAGGCCAGTTGACTGTGCCAACGACTGCTGCTATGGATGGACATGTGACATTCCGGGCAGCAGGATGGTTGACATCAGCCCCAATGAACATGACATGCTCTTGACCCTGAAAATGTGGAAGCCTCCCTTGAAGCTCAAAGTTGCTACCCCCAAGTTTTGCATTGATCTTTTTGCAAAGGTTGGCAAGATCTTGGTCACGCCCTTTGTTGAACGTACTAGACAGGCAACACTGTGTGACCACCCCGATTTTTGTTTCTGAAACCCATTTCAAGTACTTGTAACCATTGTCCCTACCAGGCATAACACATACCATTATTTGCAATTTGGCCTGCGTTTTCTTCTTAGCTAAATCAACCACATGATTGAGGAGATTTTCAACCAGGGTGACACTGGACAGTTCGCGCATTGGAGCTCCTTGATAGATTAGGGGATCTTCCATGTGGATTCCCATGTTTCTGGACCGCCTCTTCAGGTTTTCAACAAAATCACGTGATCGAAGCTTGTTATAATTGTGAGAAATGGTGAAATCAATCAAAGCCCATCGTTCAACCGGAGTGCCCGCAACAACGGTTTTCCCAACAAGGTTCCACTGGCATCTATCATTGATGGAAACCATATATGAACCTCCTAACTTCACTTTAGGGGGAGGAAGTATGCGGCCCACAACTTGTGTCATGTCATGTTCAACTCCAATTCCAAAGTTTTTACTGACGTCACTGTCATAAACAAGTCAAGAATATTTTAAGATATACAATGTCTATGCTAATGTCCATTTTAACAACTAGTTGCAATTTAATAGCAAAAGACATAGATGATATCAAGTTTGGTATTTTGTTATCACAAACAAGATTCTTTGCAAGAGGTGAAAGGAGCACGATTTTATATAAAACAAACATTCGTTGCAACCAATATACAAATGTAATACTAGAGTGAGGAATTGAAATAGACGGAAGCCTGCTTGATCAAACAAATATCGATTTCTTAACTGTGAGAACTTTTTCCATTAAATTTCATCAACTACTCTAATTCTAATTACCAGGGAGCAACATATCCTGTGCTCTAATAAAGAAAGCTAAGATATATTAAATTGAACTTAGATACATTATACAAGGAATGGAGAATCCAAAATTTTGAACCTTCAAACAAATATAAGAGGCACAAAATAAAATCCAATTTAGGTAGGTCATAACACCTAGAGTTCAATGAGTACCAAACACTAAAAATTAAATCATTAGATGCATGCACAAATTAAAAATTCATATAATATCTAAAAATATATTTATATTTCATACCCACTAGGTCCATCACCAGCCTTCACCATTGCATTAATTGTTTTCCGTCTTTCCTCTGGCGGAGGAAGTGATAGCTTTTTCAAGAATATTCCTGTGTCCTTATCCAAATTTTCCTTCGGAAAAATTTGGCCTCCAATCAGGATGCAAAGTTCCATTGGTACATACCTACCCTTCCCAATATCTAAACACGGAATATTGGTATGCATAATGTTCACTCCATGTTTCTCACGGAAGTAGTCAACAAGATACAATTCTCTTTCTGGACTATTTCCATCAGGGTCAGTTAGTACAAATGTCAGTTGTCCAGTGCTTTTCGCAGTTAAGTTTGATATAATAAACTTTTGATTGCATCTGCGGTGCGTGACATTCACTTTCAACCCTATTAAAGCAGCTTCAACCTTCTTCCGGAATAAATTAAACTGATCCACTCTAAATCCATCAATATACTGGTGAAGGAACTCCAAGACTGCCAACGGTTTGCGAAATGCCAAGACTGAGTAGTCAAGACATAAAGCAAGACCTTGGGACGTAGGCTTTAGGCTCTGTTGGAAGCCTCTATGAGCCGCAATACCAGGCACAAGGTCTTCGGTGTATTGTTTGGAGAAAAATGACCTACCAACAATATACCTGCTCCTGGTAGGATTGTCTTTCATGACCAAATCCATAGCTTGAAGTACTTCACGAGGTAGGTGAGACACAACACCACTCAAATAATCTTTGAGCTTTGAATACTTGAGTTCGCTAACAAGCTTGATGGTGAACATAAAGGTGCGAGACTTTGACTCATCATCTCCGGACAAAACCACCTTGAATTCTCCCGTGGGTAGTGGAACTACACTGAAAATGTTCTTCTCACCGTCATATGTGGTCATATCCACTGGAAATCCTTGAGGATTATCATCAAAAAGTTGTTTTCTGATTATGGAAAGAAGAGATTTAGATATTGATTTCTTCAATGGCTGATTTTCAGAGTTGACTTGGTTGACAGCCACATCATAGTGCATTATTGTTGTCTCAGGGCCAAAAGTAACACGGAAATGGTTAACAAGGAGATTGATTTTCCTGGTAGCAATCGTTCCTGTATCTGGCCGTTTGATTGGTTGAAGCTTGTTTTTGGAACTTTCTGAAGACAATGTCCTAGCACCAACCTCAGTAGGTACTGAAACATACATAAATATTTTTTTGAAGAAAAGGCAATAAAACAGGTCTATAATTGCCACATTTTCACTGAATAGGTACACTCATGGGTGCCAATCACGCCAACATTTGTAACTTTTACCGGGAACTCATTCCATACAAAAGAACAGAAAATACCTGAAGAAATTTCAAAAGATTGGGATTGAGGTTGAGACTGAGCTTGAGGGTGATTAGGAGCCGTTGGAGGTGGAGATGGAGAAGAAACCATAGACACACCTCTGGGCTTGCCGCTCCAAACAGACTGTGGTGGTCCGCCAGTGGGCCCCACGCCCAGAGGGATACTCTGAGGGTGCTGAAGTGGTGCTCGGTATGCCCCACTCTCAAGAGCAGGGCCACTATCACCGCCGTACTGCGGCGGCTGCTGAATTGGTGCCCTCGGCGACCAAGCCCTAGGACGAGGACCCCAATCACCACCGGACTGTGGCAGGGACTGGGACTGAGACTGCTGAGGAGGTGGCCGACCTGCCCCACCCCAAGGAGCAGGGCCACGATTAGAGCCGTAGAGCGGCTGAGGAGAGTGAGACTGCTGAAATTGTGCCCGCTGCGGCCCTCCAGAAGGAGCCCGGCCACCATGACTGACCGGAATCTGAGCCCACTGTTGCTGAGGTCGTTGATCGCCAGGACCCTGGCCCCTCGGCCGTTGTTGTTCCCATTGATGCTGAGCCGGTGGCTGATTGTGCCCACCCCGTTGAGATCCACTTCCGCGGCCACCACGACCGCCGCCAGAACCACCCTGAACCTGTTGACTTGGGTCATAACCACCACGACCTCCACGCCCTCGGCCTCTACCTCGGCCGCGCGGGTAGTTCTCGCCTTCCATAACTCGGTTTATCGAAAGATTGCAGAGATCGACTGTAGATGCGGTGCGCGTCTATCTAAAGCAACCGTAATCAAAACTGCTTGTGCCTAACTCGGTTACGTTTTTCGAGGATATGACCTGAGAAAAAGATCGCGAATTTTCTAGAGACTGCCTATTACAAAGTACGATGTACTTCCTACACCTGAGTTGCCAACTTGCGATTTGTTCGACGAAAAGCGGACTTTTACTCGACAGGTCAGCGCATTTTTGTTTTGGCAACCTAGACTTGCTCCAAAAGGCAGAATCTTACACACAGGAGCACCCATCCGACCCGACATGATGGTGGGAGAGTTAATCACGGTGACTCGATCAGTAAAGCGACGATCAACCTTATACACGTGCGCACCAGAGGTCCAATCTTATTTTAGATTCTGTAACCTCCATACGACCGCTGCGGGTTTCGAACTTTGGTCACTTGGTCCAATTTTCTCACCATTCGACCAACTGAGTTACCCGTGCGGGTTGGCAACCAATAGACAGTAAGATTTCCCTGAACCAATTTACTGCTGGAGTAGACAATTTAAATTTTTAATTTTCCCAAAAACAAAATTGAAAAATGTTAATAGTACACTTTTTTATGAAAGGTAAACATATATAAACCACCCAAAAAAATATACTTTCTCCGATCATTAATTAAGTTTACACTTTGACTTCACACATATTAAGGAAATAAATTTGATTTTACTGTAAAGTACATTGTTTGACACTGTTTGGTGTAAATTTGTTTGTCAAATAAGGCAAATAAGGAAGTGTAAAGTTTAATATGTGACGACCCAAAAAGGAAAGTGTAAAGTTAATTAAGGATCGGATGGAATATACAACATCAGAGGGGCATACCCCACCTCACTTAAGCATTACAACCAAAATTTGCTTAAGTGATCAAAATCAAACCAAGCTCCAAAACACACGCCTTCAAAAATCAATAAAAAAAAGCCGGATAAAGTCCAAACAAACTCTTGTAAACAATGACTTTTATATGTTCCACTATTTCTGTAGTAGTAGAGGGATGGTTAGCAAAAATGATTTCATTCCTATCTTTCCAAAGCAAGTAGACAGTACAATTTAGCGCTAATAAAAAAACCTTACTTTTAATCCTTGCACCTCCATAGTTCTTCTTGTACACTTTTTTGTATACACTAAGCCTAACCACAATAGATCAAATTCTTCAGCAAGTTGTATGTATTTGTTCAATTAATTTAATTTTTTCCTGTAATCTAATATGGTCAATATATTCATGGTGGGATTTTCCAAATAAGATTAAATGAAATTTTAATTGCAAAAATAGAACTATAACTTAAAAATTGTCTAAATAATCGGTTTTCAATTTTACCCTTGCTTTGTATCATTACAATTCATATTTCAGTAATAATTAAAACGTAACAATAATAACAAGATTTTGAATCAGCTCTTGGCACATCCGTTGTGACTCTTATTGCCCCTCCTTTGAGCTCTTGGTCTTACCGGTACTAGTCTTGTCTGTTTAGTCGTAACTACAGTTGTCTTTCTGTTTGAAATTGAATCACTAACCACAGTTGAAGGGTGTTATCCCCTTTGTACAAGTTTCATTTATGTGACATTCTCATGAGAACCTCTAATCTTCACCACACATATGTTTTTATATGCATTTTTATCCAATTATATTCATAATATACCATTTTAGCTCACATAAACCAAATCACCTTGGCATACCTCATGTTTAAACTCTTTTAAACATCATATTGAATACATATAACATTTACTTAGGTAGTATTACACTTCACCCAAGACTTACAAGACATTAAGCCGTCTACTCACCTCGAATGAGCTTTAAGAAGTTCTACCCTTCTTGGTTGAACTCCGACAAAACTCCAGCGAACTTCGTTGAACTCTGGCGACAATTCTGGTGACCATTTCAACTTCATGAAAGCACTAGGAACTCCCTACACAAGTTCCTAACAAGGTTTTATCATCACAAAACCCATATCAACACAAATAACCTCTAAAAGGTTATTTTTCGGTGAACCGATCACTTTGGCTTCTAAGTCCTTTTTTGGATTAGAACCTCATTTCAACCCCTCTTTCTACATTTCTACACATGTAGAACAATCATAGGGGTCCTCCATATGATGTATATATCATATGAGAATCAAATGAATAGAAAAAAGTTGTTATGAGGTTATTATCATAATCCTTCACACTTTTCTTCACCTTTCCTTTCCTTAAACTTCCTTTTTGGACTTCCCTTTGTTTGAGCTCAAAGTGTAGCTATGGAAGGTGGTGTTAGGAGCTTTTTCTTTCTTCCTTGGGGTTGGTTGGTCGAGAATGATAGATGAAAGAGTTTTGAGAGGTTGTTTTGTCTCAATTAGCCAATGAGTGATGGGAGGGGCCCTTTAGCTTTCAACCATGTCTCACCTATCCTCTCATATATCCATCAAGTGTCCTTACAGTTCTCATTTAGTCAATTTGAGCACACAAAGCATGGAGTGGCCTCCACTCATGTGAGAGAGGTCATCCCAATATATCTCAAAGTGAACATTCAGTCCCGAAAGTTGTATTTTTTGGACTATTTTAATTATATTTTACTTTATCGGACCAAATAAAATATATCTCATGTTCCCAATAACTATGGGCCTTTAGAATGAATATACATTCCCCAACCTTAATTTAGAGGTCCACGAAGTTCATTACGAGCTGTTATCTGATAAATTACCAATACCGGTAATTAGGCATTGTTTGACAGTCTGGTCAACTTTGTGCCTTTCTATGGCCCAACTAGGATATCCACCACTATATAAATATTATCTAGACCAAGTTCAATATAATATGTGCTCCCGAAAATATCGGGTGGTCCCCGCTCCCGGTGTGGGCCCCACCGTGCAATATACTATTCACATCAAAGTAATAACAAAAAATTATAACCTCGTAAATTCATTAACCATTTCTCAAGGTTAAATACATAATTTACACAAAACTAAATATACTTGGGGACGGTGTTACATTAAATTTGGTGGAGATAATCTACACTTCATTGAGAACATGCTCATAAAATTTCATAAAAAAATTTGATTTGGAAGCATCTGAAATGAAAGAGGCCTAAAAATTGTATGTTTTAGGCCTACCTTACATGAACTTTATATATATATATATAGATTTAGGATCAAATGAGAACAATGATTAACATGAGAACACGAGAACACCACATTTACGCCACTGTGATGCACAATGAGACTCGCCCAATGCACTTTTTCGTGTTTGGCATAATATTTACCAAAATGCCACCGTGTTATTTATATTGGCTTGTTTTGAGCAAAGTCGAAATGTGCACTAGACGGGCTCTTTTGACCGTCTAGTGCACATTTCGACTTTGTTCCAAATAAGTCAATATAAATAATGTGGTGGCATTTTGGTAAATACTATGCCCAACACGAAAATGTGCATTAAACGAGCCTCATTGTGCATCATATTGGGGTAAATGTGGTGTTCTCACGTTCTCATGTTAAGCGTTGTTCTCATTTGATCCTAAATCTACACACACACACACACACACACACACACATATATATATATATATATATATATATATATATATATATATATATATATATAGGGGCAAGATCCCATACAAACCAAGCTTCCAATGCAAACTACAAACTAACGACATCCGTTAGATTGGCTAAAACGGACCGCTGATACGTATGGGCTGCATTGTTTAAACTGTGCACTGAGATGCAGGGGATGAAACAAATTCCACGGTTTGAAATGTTTACGCATTTAAAAAGGTCACAAAGGTAATTTTAGATTTCCAAAACAAAACCGCCGAAATCAAAATTGGGATTAACTTTAGAAATCCCTAACTTTACGGTTAATATCCACTAAGAAGGTAACTGGCCACGAATACCAACGTGAAAAAAGGTAAGTTGCAGAACATACAAACAGAGGAAGCAACTTGGTCGAAGACTGGAGCAAGTTGTTCGAAGCCTGGAGATCAGAAAGGTTTTCGAAGATTTTTAAGCGACGTTGAGTGCAGTGAAGGCTTGGTGTTTGATGAAGGTAGTCATTTTCATCCCTCCGTTATATCAATACAAATGCAAATGGAGCTTGATGATCATTAATACAATTATCAGACAAAAGAACTGCAAATGTTTAAGACAAAACATGTAAAATTGTGAAATGTAGATGCATTATTGTGATTTAAAAAATGAACAAACCTATTTGGTTTAATTATAGTCACATTAGAGTTGAAACAAGTTTCTTTGCAGCACGTGTAGTTGTAAGATGCATTTGTTGTGCTTAATGCACTTGGAATGTAAGAAGGATGTGTGATGCATTTGTATTAGAGTGAAGATGCAGATGTTTAATTTCTGAGATGCATAATTGTAATGAAAATGTCTTGTGTTTGTGTGTCATGTGTATGCATGATTGTGTGATACAAGATGCATTTAAAGTTAATTGAAAATGAAAGTGTGATAACAGCAATGCATAGTATTGGATCAATGTTGAGAGAAGTTAGGTGCAACATGTGGAGTTGTAAGATGCACTAGTTGTGGTTATTGCAGTTGGAATGCGAAACAATTTGATGATGCATAAGTATTATGTTTAAATTGCAAAAGTTTAAGAAATGAGATGCACTATTTTGATATATATGAGTTAGTGATGTAGTTGCATAATTTTATAGTACAAGATGCATTTACAGTTAAGTGAAAATGAAAGTGTGATAACAGTGTGATGCATAGTATTGGTTCAATATTGATAGAAGTTAGGTGCAACATATGGAGTTGTAAGATGCAATAGTTGTCCTTAATTCAGTTTGATACAAAACAATTTAATGATGCATAAATATTATGTGTAAGATGCATTAGTTTAAGAAATGAGATGCATTGTGTTGATGAATATGACTTATGCTTGTGAGACACGTGGATGCATAATTTTATGGTACAAGATGCATTTAACCAAGCCAAGTGTTGCAGGTCTCATAACAGTTGGATTAGTACTTGTGCTTATGAGTTAGGTAGTACTGTAAAATTTTGATTGAAAGTCAAAGTGTATATGCTCACATTGAACCTTATTCATATTGTGATTTTTGTATGTGACTAGTACAAGTAAGCTAAACAATGGCATGCACATATAATACAAAATGAAGAAGAGAATCAAGTGATATGAACGAAAAGAAAAC